TTAAAAAAAAAAAAAAAAAAAAAAAAAAAAAAAAAGAAATGAGCTTCCTCCGAAGGGTGGCTGGCCTCTCCCTTAGAGATAGGGTGAGAAGTTCGGCCATCCGGGAGGGGCTCAGAGTAGAGCCGCTGCTGCTCCACATCGAAAGGAGCCAGCTGAGGTGGTTCGGGCATCTGACAAGGATGCCCCTTGGGCGCCTCCTAGGTGAGGTGTTCCTGGCATGTCCCACCAGGAGGAGGCCCGGGGCAGACCCAGGACACGCTGGAGAGATTATATCTCTTGGCTGGCCTGGGAACGCCTTGGTGTTCCCCCGGATAAGCTGGAGGAGGTGGCTGGGGAGAGGGAGGTCTGGGCCTCTCTGCTTAGGCTGCTGCCCCCGCGGCCCGGCCTCGGATAAAGCGGATGAAGATGGATGGATGGATGGATGGATGGATGGATGGGTTTGCAACAGACCCTTACTAAGCACACTATGAGAAAGCTATTACTAAAGACTATTCTTAATTAAATCCACCAGTCAGTCCTGAAATTATTTCTGTTACTAGAAAATTCAGCAACTTCACATTAATCACATCACACCATTCACACCCTATGTTGAAACCTGGCCTCTTGCTGACAGTAAAAAATGCCCCAACAGTCTGCTAACTAGACATCAGACTTTCGATGGAAGACCACAAAAATTCAGTGAAATGTCACAATTGTATAACACTGATGAACAACGTGCAGATTTGGAAAAGTGTGTGCAAGGCCAGCTGTTGGCATAAACACTGTCAGTGGTTTGTTTTTGCTTGTTCTTCATGCTTGTTGACTCTGCTGGACAGCGTGGCAATAAATCTCCATGAGAAATGTTTAACATTTAGAAGCAGATTCTGAAAGCTTTTAAATTACAACCCGATTGTTTATTGCTTGCTGAGAAGTACTATAAGCAGTAAATACCCTCTAAGTCTATTTTTTCTTTTTGGATTTTTACCAACATTTTCTCTGCATTTTATTGTAAAGGAAAAAGCAGAACATAAGAATGGTACTTTAACCTGGCAATCTGGCTATCAAGTAATAAATGTGTTGTGAAACATTTGGATCTAACTGTCTGCTTGGTATGTTCTTAATGGGAAACACTGCACACATTTCGACGATGTCACGAAGCTGACATACTCATGTGTTTATTTCCTTATGATTTTTGAAGTGGTTTTATTTATTTATTTAATTTTTCCATCCTAAATTATGATTATAGCCTGAAAATATGACCCACATTTAGGTCCTCCTCACGTGGTTCTTATTACAGAAAGTATAAAAACATGTAACATTTTTCACCCTATATTTAAAAGAAAAAACAAAGAGCACTATTTTTGAGAAACCTCTGCAGCACCAGGAGAATCTTTTCTGTCAGTCCACATGACATTTCCTGAGGGAACAACATATATGACTTCAAGGGTGTGTACCGCCTCCTTTTACATCACAGCAGCCACAGAGGTCATAGCATTAACAGCTGTGGTCTTGCTTCAGCCTACAAATGTAGAAGGTATGATGCTGCTTGCTGCATTTCTTCACCATGCAGATTGAAACTATACTAAAAACTGTGGGTTGTTGGAGGTCTGTATGGTCAGGGATAAAACAAGTTAACTTGGCTTTTCTTAGTGCTATCATTAATCTTTCCAGGTAACAGACCAGCAACAGAAAAGAAAAACAGAGAAAATGGCTTTTCAGAAAAATACAGGGTATGTGAAGCCCTGGTGGAAAGACAAACAGAAATGATTCGCTTTTCTTCCAGCCACAGTGTACAGGCACTGGTGTAAGAAAAGTAAATAAAGCACAATATAGGCTGGAGGAATTGGAAAAGGTTAATTGAAGACAAAAGTAAGTCTTATGCAAAACTGACATGTAGCTCAAAGGAAAATTTAAAAGAGGACATCACAAAGAAGAAAATCAGAGACACTTTTTAAAGCACAAAAAACCCTTTAAACAGCATGAAAACAAATATAAATAATTAAATGATTGAATGACTCTTCTATTGTTGTTGAATAGTTATGGTCACTGCTATGCCTTTAGTTTTCTAGTGTTCCTTTCTCTGCCAAGTTGTTTCATTTCCTGAGTTTCTTTGTTGGGATTTTTTCTTTTGTTTTGTCTCTTGAGTGCACATCTTTCTATTTCTCTATTTATTTTCTTGTACACTCAAATCTTTTGTCTTTTTCTGTTCATTTCCCCGTTGTGTTTAGATATGTGACCTGTACTTTTAAATCCTTTCAGAAAATATCATTTCCTCAGCACTTTTTCTGGATCTCAGTGGAAAACAACATAGTGCCAAGGTAAGCGAGATAAAGGAAACTCATAGAGCCTGGTGATCAGAATATTTGACTCTATGGAGCATACCCTGGATTACTTTGTGATTTAAAAATTAAAGTTGCTGATGTGGTTGTAATGAAGCTGCAGCGTTGCCTTGATTGAAGAAAAAAATGTCCATAAATCAAAAAAACTGACATTGTTTTGGAAAAAATGACATAGGTTTATGTGATGGAATAATAGCTGTTCACTGACATTTACAACTAATCGTATTTTACAAGGTTTATCACTTAAGGCTGACTCAAAAAGCACCCATAGACTCCCATGTCAAAATGGCTCACTTCAGGGTGTCAAAAAGCACATTTGAAGCCTGGTACCAGAAACATTTTTATTCTCCATGGCTTTTGTCTCCCTTTTTAACGAGTCTAGTGGACAGAGTGTGGACAGCATTACTAAGCAGCATAGCAATGACATCAAACTCGTGAAAATTAAAATTTGTGCTGTGTGGTCAAATGTTTGTGCCTGTTGGACACCTTTCCTCTCTTTGTTCTCATCACTGTTGGAGTCGTTACTCGCAAAAATTAATAAAGTAAAAGTAATTACACATATTACACAGAACTCTTCTTAAAGTGGAGTACATAACTTAATTCGTCCCATGAGAGAATGATTAGTTACGCTACTCGTTGCCTTTCTTTTTCATTTCCTTATGTAAAATGACCTGAAAAATATTGTTTTATAATTACCAGTCAACCATATCAATCTGAGGCTACAGCCCAAAAACCAACACAAATCCCTATCATAATGAGGACACGCATATGATCTTTCTCTTTGTAGTTGGGTGTGAGCACAAAGCCGACAGCACACAGCGAAGATCAAAACCTAGACTTTAATCTAATCATAATCAAGATGGGAGCTGCCAGAATTCTAATCTTCAGGCTACAGAATGGAATTAAGAAAGTAGTGGGTAAAGTCACATTGTCTATGTCCATTTTTCTCATATAGTTTATTAATATTCCCTAGTAAAGGGTGCGATGGAAAGTTTGAGAAAAAATAAAAAATAAAACAAGGACTAAATGTAGGCTACAAGTAGCATCTATTGCACTTTCAAATTTAAAGAAACTGACACATTAATGAATCAATGAATACAAGTTACAAATATAACATAAATTAGTCTGAAATATGCCTTTATTTTTTTCATTAAGTGAATTTTGATGCTTTCTATCTTGAGTAAAAATGTAAATGACTGCTTTTTCCACATAGTATTTCCAAAGTGCAGTGTGGCTACTTTTACCTAAGTACAAAATCTGATGATTTATCCACCTCTGTGTACAGCACTTGTGTTTGTGTATGTTTCTCCGCCTGCAGCTGTAATAACAGCCAGAGTCTGCTCAGGCTCAAACTCCCAGACCTGAGCAGAGCTTCACTCAGTGTTAATTTGCTTATCGCTGGATGTTCTCTCCTGCCTTTCTAACGGTAAGCAGCTGTGAGGCCTGCTAATTAAAACCTGAAAGGAGGGTCTGGTCCTCTAATGTGATCATACATGCAATGAAGCACGTACCCGCTGACACGTGCACGCGCAACGCCACTGATCTCCATTGTTTGAGCACATGCACACACTGAGTACATAAATATATACATTGCTTGGCCTGCATATCTGGTTCTCTGGTTTATAGGACAGTTTGGGTAATAAAGACAACAGGGCTAAAATTTATAGTTGGGTTAAAAGTTGAAAATGTGTTTTTGAAGTTTTTAATGCTTTTTTTTGTCCTCTTGCAGTTGGCAATAATAAGCAATTCATTCACACAATGTTTTTTTTAGCAAAAGTCACAGTTAAACTCCAGAATGAAAACTTTTTTTTAAATGACCTCTATACTATAAGTAACTACGCCATAATTTCCACTCCCGCTCTATTAGTCTGTTGTACATTATGTCATAACTTCTACAAGAGCAGAGTTCCCTGTGGGAATGCTTATAAGGTTTTTTAGTCACTAAGCAGAAACTCCCCTGTACCTGCTTTACCATGCATGTGTGCACTTTTTTGTGATATGACAAAACTATAATACTTAATTTTAACACTGTGTTTTTGTATGTGTTTGCCACATTTGCAAACTGTTGTCCTGGGGGAAAAAAATTATCGTATCTGTGGAAGATGCAGTCTAAAACTTTACAGGCTTACAGCCGACATCAAAATAAAGAGCTCAGTTCAATAACGAGTGAGGTCTCGGAGCTCATTAGGGATAAAATCAACTGATGTCTGGTGAAAGCACATCCTTTGAAACCGTTTAGCATTGTGGATACATTTGATAATAAATGTAATTAAAATTGACGATTGCTGCATTGTTTGTACTGTATCGGCAGTACACACAGGTAATTCCATGGATCCCTTTAATTGAAGTGCAGTGGCATTGCTCTATCAAATACCACAAAACACAGTAAGAAGAGATTTTTTATGTTTTCACTGCAAACAATCAGCCTGGCTTCTGCCGATGGGCCTCTTTTTTTGTTCTCTTTGGCCTTTCTAACTCAGATCAACATTTTAGAAATCGCATTATCCAACATATTGTGTAATGCAGAAAGACTTGGTGTATAAAAGGCCCCAAAGTTCATAGAATAGTTTTACTGGTGTTTATAAGTTTATATAAGTTCATTTAATGTTCAGTCTTCTGCCAGTTTGGGCCAGCCCACCTTCTAGTGACATCATCCGGTTAGTAAGGTGGGCAGTTTAATGTCGGATGAGCAGTGTTGGTCCGGAGGGGGTGCACTGATTCCTGGGGGATGTTATGTGTGCGTAAATGACAAGTAAGTAGTGACCTGTGTTGTATTTTGCCTTTGTTTGTGTCAGTACTGTAGTATGTTACCATTTAGGAGCTAATGTAGTCCATAGTTGGAGCCCACGCATGCAACGCGTGAGTTCACCCTCATTTCATATGCTAATTTGTGTTGTTAGCTTACCCCGGTTTAGCTTTGTTGACGCATGTACGGTCGCTCGTATGTCCATAATGTCATTCCTGTGTTATCAGACCTTCTCTGTATGTTGTATGTGATGCTTGTGATTGTTTACTTTGAAGTAGCGGAGTTTGTAGCGAACAATTAGGTACGAGGATTAATAAAATAGCGAACGTAGTTCGACCGGAAGTATACCCTTCACAATAAGAGCATTATAGCGGATTATAATTATTTTGTACAACTACCGGAAGTAGTTCCTGTGTACTGACGGTTGCTTAACCTCGCACTGTTTAGTTGCATAGTGTGAGCAGTTTGAAGTGTATTATATTTTTCTGATCTTTATATTTGCTTATTTTAACTATATTGTATCATGTTTATATTTGAGTATTTGACTTGCCTATTCTCTTTATTTATCGTTATTTCCCTTGTTTATTTCCTTTGTAGGAAACCACACACACACACCTATGTACACCCGCTGTGTTTACAGCCCCAGAAATTGAGTGATAACAATAAAGTGCCTCAAACGGAACCTCAAGCTCCCTCCTTCTTTCATACTCTGGGACAATTTGGCCTTAAGTGGTGTTCTGGCCGACACCGGGGTGACTGTAGTGCTCAAAGACTGAATCAGTACCACAGCCGTGCCTATCTTTGATATCTCCACTACACTTGGGGAACACAAAGTGCAGTCTTAGCAGCAAATCAATTTATGTGTCCTCGCTGTTTGAGATAAAGGGAGGACTTGCGGTCTGATCTAACATGCTTTGTTGAGGTAAGGAAAGGAAAATGGCTTTTTTGTAAAACTAATGAAAACAGATCTTTCCCTCCAGCTATGCTACCATACATTTTAAAAGTGTCACACTCATTTGTCATTTGTTAGCTAATCCCATTATGCCACTGGACTGACTGCTCTGTCTTTTAATTTGCTGACTAAGGGCATAATTACTTTAACAGCAGTCTGGCAGTTATTGGAAACACATAGGGGCTGAGGCGAGTCATAAACCATAAAATGACATCTTTGCCAAGTTTGACACTTAAAAGATTTGCGATGATATATTTACTTACACAGGTAGGTGAGCCAGCTGGGATTTATACAATAAAGCAATTTTAAGGATCTAATCTAGACTAGCTTATTTTCTTCATTTTCTTTGTAAGTGGAAATGATAAACATAAAATGACTATTTATGTACACTGTATGTATGTGCCAGTGTAAACAGGAAGCAGAGGCTTGATTGTTTGTCATAAAGAGTTGAAGGACATATCGTAGCTGATTCTATCAGGAAATAATTGTGACATTGCTTACAAAAGTCTGTGGTTGATGCCCAGTAATCAGTTTTGCTTAGCAATGTTCCCAGCTGAATGAAGTGACCTTATTGTTATTACAGCCGTATTACACATGTTACACTGGAACATCCTTCATGAAAGGACACACTCTCAAACTACTCATAAAAAAACAGAATATCAACACAACTGAGAGACCATCATCCAAGTCATCAGTAAAATCCACACAGTAGGCAAGGATTGCACTGATACATTCAAATCTGCTTCTGAACATTCAGTTCATTTTAGTTTTATTTATGTCACCAAATCACAACAGCAGGCACTTCAAGGTAGGATTTTCCGCAATTGGTTGGAAGTGAAGGTCGAGGTCTGGCAAATATAAAGATGTCAGGTATGTTAAAGAGAACATGAAGGGATGTCCTCATTCTGTCTCTTACTAAAAGTAAGAGTAGATCCGTTTATTAATACAAGAATTTAATTAATCTTTTTTGAAAATACCAACTTACTAAAAAGACTACTAAATAAACTGTTGACCAGGTTGTCTAAGTGTATATAATCTATTTAAAACCCTTTTCGTGATATCATAGTTTCTAATATTGGTATTGGTAGCCGATGAAGTCCAAGCTTGGTGTCTGACAGTGTCAGTAATATTGACATCACTGTCACAGTTTTTGCCTACGACATGATTAAATAGTGATGATAGACTATTATCGGTTATGGTTACATGTTGTTTCACACGTATCTCGCATAACATGTTTATTAAGCATAAAAACTTAATTTAAGTGAGATATTTCAGTGCACACAGCAAAATAATAAAAACAAAAATCAATTTCTCTTACTTTGATTTATTTACTTTCCCTACGTCTGAATAATTCATCTTTGTCAGGAAATTAATCATTAAAAATGACCCAAAGAGGACTGAATTTGAGAGAGTGAATTTGGTTTTCAGGATATCATGCTCTTCAGCGTTGGGATGTATTTTGAGTTTGCAACCCAATAGGAATATCATATCACTGCAATACCCTAAATAGTACTGAGTTTGTACCCAGTTTTTATGAATTCTCCCTACTTCACTGACTTTTCCATCTAAGTCCGAGAACAGTGATTAGGAAAAGATATAGTAATTTTTGGGACTTTTCCTATCTTCAACTTGCAAGACATTCTCTAAAAATCAGTTGGAATTGACCTAAAGGTCTGTTTGCATGTATACAAAGGACAAAACAAAGCTTAAAAATACACCCATATGTATATGGACACAGTTGGAGTGAATGTTATACATCTTGTCAGCTTGATCTGACAGACACATGCAGCTGGGCAGGCAGGTAGCAGGTCAGGAGCTGATTAGCTGATAAGGAGCAGGTGTGAAGGCTAAACCTGTGATGGAGAGGGTGTCTGCTGGGCAGGTGTAACGTGACTGGAACTGGCAAATAAAAGACTTTCCCTCTTAACTATAGAGTGTCAATCCACTGTAGATACAGCTGTGAAGGCCACTCCACGCTAAAGAGTTAGGTAGGAATCAAAAGGTATATGAATATCCATGCTTGCCACTAGGTAAGAAACATCCATCACCATGGATACTGATAGACTCTTTGCCCTCTCGATACGGCACGTTCTCATGCGTCATCTCCTTGTAAATACAGAGATGACGCATTAAAAGTAAGTGGTTTCCAAGTTTCATGCACAGCTAAATTAATATTTCTGAAGCAGAAACATGCATATCTAATTATATGATATATGTCATTCATTTTGTGAAACAAGTGCTTGCATTTGTGTTACCAGATTATGATATGTAGGTCAGTACCCCCACAGACTCCCTGTTACTGGGTTTTGAGTTCACTTGCACTCCACACCATCTGGTTTGGATTGATCTAGAAACATGGAAAACATGGAAATGGGATGGAAAGGAGACTGACTTGGGAGTTGCAATATTCATTCTTTTAAGATTATTTACAGCAAGTTTTTATTCCCTTTAATATGTGATATGTCTGTATTTCTTCTTCTTGACATCACTTAGCGCTCTCTTTTCAGAGGGCAGAATCTCTGTTTGGTCAGTCAGTGATTTGGTTTTAATCAGGTTGTCTCTGGTTAATGATTTATAGCAAAGGAGACTGTTATTCTGAAAGATCTATTTGAATCCTGAGCTTTGGATTATGTGGTTTTTATAGTTTAGCCTGTTTTGTGAACTTTTTCTCCAGATTATAATTATTTATATACATTTTATTTTTTTAATGATCTCACAGGTGGAGTAATGAATATGTTGTTTATCAAAAAGGAACAAGTCAAACATAAAATTATACCAAGCAAATTTATTGCTGTATTTCTGCAACAAATAAGACTGAAAGCAGAACTTGTGTATGCTGTTCACAGGTATGGAGACCATCTGGCCTTTAGACTGGTGACGTGCTGCGGTGCTACTCTACTACACGTGACAATTTTCATCTATTATAATACGTCTCCAGTTTTCATGGAGACGTATTATAGCTGTACCTTGGAGTTCATATAGTGAGTAACTATGCAGAGAGTTTATTATGGCTGTTTACTGCGCTGTGGTAAATCCACTCTGCTGCAGATCATGGGTTTTAACTCCTGTTGTGAGTTACTAATGCTCTAGTGTGTGATGAATCAGATGCATTTTAATTTGACCCAGCATGCCAGAATGCAAACTGTTCTCAGCGGTGGCAGTCATCTGAGCTTTCCTTTATACATGCAAAGAACAACAGTTAGAAAGCTTCTCTAATTAACTCAGCTGCTTAAGGTTTCTAATTTATATATCATAAAAGGAAATTTGGTTTCTGTATCTATAACTTTCTGGTGATATACACCTTTGCCCATATTATGCTTTTATTGTCTGTGGGCAAGTGTTTCAAATTGTGAGTGTTAAATGCGCGAGTTAGGGTTTCACCTCCAATACCTGTATAAAAGATTGCTGTGTAAATATAGTGTGCAAAAAAACAAAAACAGATCTTGTTTCAGATTAATACAGAGAAAAGAAATCCCTTGTAGAAATGTAGTTCTGCAGGTGTTTCAAAATCAAATACCTGCAGAACTACAATCTCTATTCCAAAAAAGTAAATATAAGCAGAATATAATGATTTAAAAAATAAATAATCTAAAAAAAACTATAAAAAAAAATTGTGTCTCTTTTTGAGTTTGATGGCAGCAACATGTCTCCAAAAAGTTGGGATGGTGTCAACAAAGAGCTGTAAAAGTAAGCAATATAAAAAGGAAACAGCTATTAGTACAAGTTAGGGCAGAAAAACTGCATCTTTAAATTGTGGAACATAATCAGAAAACATTTTCCTCAATATAAAATTGTGAAGACTTTCAATGTCTCATCATATACAGTACATAATGTCGTCATAAGAGTCAAAGAATCTAGAGAAAGCATACTGGATGCCCGTGAGATTCAGGCTCTCAGACAGCACTGCAGTAAAAACAGGCATGGTCTGTCATGGAAATCACTGCATGGGCTCAGGAAGACTTACAGAACTCATTGTCTGTAAACACAGTTCACATGCCATCCACGAGTGCAGACTAAAGCCCTATAATGCAAAGAAGAACCAATACATGTGAACATATAAATGGTAAATGGCCTGTATTTATATAGCGCCTTACTAGTCCCTAAGGACCCCAAAGCGCTTTACATATCCAGTCATCCACCCATTCACACACACATTGACACACTGGTGATGGCAAGCTACATTGTAGCCACAGCCACCCTGGGGCGCACTGACAGAGGCGAGGCTGCCGGACACTGGCGCCACCGGGCCCTCTGACCACCACCAGTAGGCAACGGGTGAAGTGTCTTGCCCAAGGACACAACGACCGAGACTGTCCAAGCCAGGGCTCGAACCGGCAACCTTCCGATTACAAGACGAACTCCCAACTCTTGAGCCACGATCGCCCCACATGATCCAGAAACATTGCAATCTTTTCTGTCCCAAATGGACTGAAATGGAAAACTGTTTTGTGGTCAGAAAAATCAAGATTTGAAATTATTTTTGGAAAGCATGGACTCCATATCCTCTGGATTAAAAAGGATAGGGATCATCCAGTTTATGATCAGACCCAGGATTATTGAGCAGCTAGAATCCTATATCATGCAAAAACGGGACAACATTGCTCTCACAAAATCCAACAACTGGTTTCTTCAGTTCCTGGACATCAACAGACTGTTGTTAATGCTACACAGTAATAAAAATGACGCTGTCTCAACTTTTGTGTAATGCATTGCTGCCATCAAATTGCCATTTTTCTTAAAATTGTATATTTTCTAAGTGAAAACATCAGATTTTTTCTATGTTCTATTGTGAATAAAATATGGGTTTATGAGATTTGCACATCATTGCATTCTGTTTTTATTTACATTTTAAACAGCACCACATTTTCTTTTTTTTGTAGAATTGGGTTTGCAACATCTTTAAGAAGGGGGACCGGAGGGTGTGTTCCAACTACAGGGGGATCACACTCCTCAGCCTCCCTGGGTAAGTCTATGCTAGGGTGCTGGAAAGGAGAGTTCGTCCGCTAGTCGAACCTCGGATACAGGAGGAACAATGCGGTTTTCGTCCTGGTCGCGGAACACTGGACCAGCTCTTTATCCTCTCGAGGATACTTGAGGGTGCATGGGAGTTTGCCCAACCAGTCTACATGTGTTTTGTGGACTTGGAGAAGGCATTCGACCGTGTCCCTCGGGGTGTCCTGTGGGAGGTGTTGCGGGAGTATGGGGTGTCTGGCCCATTGCTACGGGCCATTCGATCCCTATACAACCTTTGTAAGAGCTTGGTTAGCATTGCCGGCAATAAGTCGGACTCGTTCCCGGTGGGTGATGGGCTCCGCCAGGGCTGCCCTTTGTCTCCGGTTCTGTTCATAATTTTTATGGACAGGATTTCTAGGCGCAGCCAAGTGGCGGAGGGCTTTCACTTTGGTGGCCTCAGAATCTCATCTCTGTTGGCTTCATCGGGTGAGGGCCTCCAGCTCGCACTGGAACGGTTCGCAGCCGAGTGTGAAGCAGCGGGAATGAGGATCAGCACCTCCAAATCTGAGGCCATGGTTCTCAGCCGGAAAAGGGTGGAGTGCCCACTCCCGGTCGGGGATGAGTTCCTGCCCCAAGTGGAGGAGTTCAAGTATCTCGGGGTCTTGTTCGCGAGTGATGGGAGAAGGGAGCCGGAGATCGACAGACGGATTCGGGCTGCAGCTGCAGTAATGCGGACGCTGCACCGGTCCGTTGTGGTGAAGAGGGAGCTGAGTGTAAAAGCGAAGCTCTCAATTCACCGGTCGATCTACGTCCCTACCCTCACCTATGGCCACGAGCTGTGGGTAGTGACCGAAAGAACGAGATCGCGGATACAAGCGGCAGAAATGAGCTTCCTCCGAAGGGCGGCTGGTCTCTCCCTTAGAGATAAGGTGAGATGTTCGGCCATCCGGGAGGGGCTCAGAGTAGAGCAGCTGCTGCTCCACATCGAAAGGAGCCAGCTGAGGTGGTTCGGGCATCTGACAAGGATGCCCCCTGGGGACCTCCTGAGTGAGGTGTTCCAGGCATGTCCCACCGGGAGGAGGCCCCGGGGCAGACCCAGGACACGCTGGAGAGATTATATCTCTCGGCTGGCCTGGGAACGCCTTGGTGTTCCCCCGGATAAACTGGAGGAGGTGGCTGGGGAGAGGGAGGTCTGGGCCTCTTTGCTTAGGCTGCTGCCCCCGCGACCCGGCCTCGGATAAAGCGGATGAAGATGGATGGATGGGTTTGCAACAGACCCTAACAACCTGGTGCATCTGATTGATAAAAAGCATGGGCCCAACAAGAGTGATATCAGTCTGTAAGATGTTAGTTCTCAGTTAACTAAACTGGAAAATAACTGGGAAGATAATAAAATGAAAACATAAAAATGAACTTTAAAGAGTTGTATTCTGCCCTAACCTCTTGAAAATAGAAAATCCACAATAAAACAAATGTAAAACAAACAAGTAGAAACAGAAGTTGGTGCCCGTGATGGAACAGTAAGAAATGGGCTGAATGAAGGGGGATTTATAAGCAGAAAAGCAAATAGCAACTAGTACAAAAAAAAACAACAAAAAACAAGGTTGCAGTGGGCTGAAGAGAGACAAGCATAGACTGTGGATGACTGGATGAAAGTGATTTTCAGTCACGAAGCACAAATCTTCACTAGCAGAGGAGATGGTACTGCAACTTTTATACAGTATTTTTCAAATGACACATATAGAGACGACTGTCTGAAGAAAGCAAGAAAATGTCCCACATCATTTATGATACCTGGTTGCATTACAGATGTGAGGAGATGACACTCATTATCTGAACAGTAAATGCACAGGTATACATTTAAATTTTGGACACTTTCCTGTCCATCAGAGAAAGTAGGTTTGATGATGGTGATGATAATGGATCTTTCCACAGAGCAAAAAGGGTGAACACTTTTTTTTCGGGAGATTCAGATATACTGAATGACAACTGATGGTAGAAACAGAAAAGAAAAATGGTCCAGGATAAAACTCAAATCTGCAAAGCACTTCTGAGATGTTTGGAACCAGCTTGATGGAGAATGTTGTTTTTCCTGAAGTCCATGCCTTAAACCATTCAATGCACGATAAAAGTGTGAGAAGATGCAACAAAGTATTAATTGGCATATTTTTCCTCATGATCCCAACAGGTGATATATGTCCTATCCTTGATCTGCAAAGGAAAAAAAACCCCTCACAGCCTTAATGAAAATAATTTTACATGTTTGAGTTGTTTGTTGTGGGCTGATTGCATAATTTTTGCCAAGGCTTGTACACTGGTCATGCATTGTTCTTATATGATTGTGATATCTAAAAGAGGAAAAACAAACACAGTCTACACACATACACTGACTGGGCATAGGCTCACAATTAACAATGATGCTAAACAGTGACAACCAAAAAGTGTTGTGATAAACTACTTGCTAATAGCTAATCCTATATATGCCAGTCCATTTTTATTTGACACCTTCTTAAATGAAATTGTTACAAAAGGCGGTTCTGTTTTTGCATTCACTAACTGATTACTGTGCATGAGGTACATATTTTTATTCCTTTCATATATGTTATGATGCAAGAAATTGATCATAAGTGTACTATAGAGTCTAGTCTGCCAGCATTACTGCACTTTAGCATGACGCTCACAAACCTATCCTTATCAACCCAGCTACTCAAACCAATCAAGGATTGTTTGAGTAGACAGACGTTATACAGCAGCAGCTATCCAAGGACTATGAAAGCCAATTGTACAGATATCTTGAAAGAAGGAAAGTGTATTTATCATTCTGATGATAGGAACTGTAATCTAAAACATGTAAATTCCACTATTAAATATTTAATAACCATCTATCCATCCATCCATTCGCTTCCGCTTATCCTTTTCAGGGTCGCGGGGGGAGCTGGAGCCTATCCCAGCTGTCATAGGGCGAGAGGCGGGGTACACCCTGGACAGGTCGCCAGTCTGTTGCAGGGCCAACACACATGGACAGACAGCCATTCGCACTCACATTCATTTGCACATTCACACCTAGTGACAATTTGGATTATCCAATTAACCTATCCCCACAAGCTGCATGTCTTTGGACGGTGGGAGGAAGCCGGAGTACCCGGAGGGAACCCACGCAGACATGGGGAGAACATGCAAACTCCACACGGAAAGACCCCGGCCTGATGGTGGAATTGAACTCAGGACCTAAATACTAAATTATTTTAATTTTGTAGTTTATCACATGTAGCCCCCATACCATCCTTCAGGAGGTGCTGCAGCATGCTTAGGCACCACTAGAGTATCAAGACACTACTCTGGGAAATTGTTCATTACTATGGAGCTCAAAAATCCCATTCATATTCTCCCTATGGACTTTGACTATGAGCCATAATGTTATAACCATCCAAAGCAGACTTAGTATGATCTACAAAATAGTGAATAGTGCTCATGTAGAAACCATAAGCCTACATGATATCAACCTTGTTTTATGGACAAAAAATGTTGTAGAAACGGCATCGTCTCTGGTTGGTGGATGCTGCTGTTTAAAACCGCAAATGTCAGGATACCCGAGGATTGACTGCAGACTGGAACAGAGCATTCTTGACTGTAATCAGGAATAATCCTAGTTTCCATACGGATAACTGTGCTATACAGTACACACACACGCACAGTCACTGTTCAGTCCTATTTGCCTAGACAAATAAATTCATGTGAGATAAAGATCCATCCATCCATCCATCTCCGCTTATCCTTTTCAGGGTCGCGGGGGGAGCTGGAGCCTATCCCAGCTGTCATAGGGCGAGAGGCGGGGTACACCCTGGACAGGTCGCCAGTCTGTCGCAAGGCTAACACACAGGGACAAACAACCATTCACACTCACATTCACACCTAGTGACAATTTGGGTTATCCAATTAACCTATCCCCACAAGCTGCATGTCTTTGGACGGTGGGAGGAAGCCGGAGTACCCGGAGGGAACCCACGCAAACACGGGGAGAACATGCAAACTCCACACAGAAAGACCCCGGCCTGATGTTGGAATTGAACTCAGGACCTTCTTGCTGTGCGGCAACGGTGCTAACCACCGTGCCACCGTGCTGCCATGAGATAAAGATGTGACCTTAAATTAGATGATGCAGATATTTCTGCTCAGAGATCTCCTCTCACTTTCTTGGTGTCACATTTTAACACAGTTAGTATGCTCAACATAAGCCTGTGAGCAGGCTAATGTTGAGGTTAGGTTTTCCTAAACCTATTTAATCAATTAATTTTGGTACTCTAATCAAAACAGTGAAAACAAACTAGGTACGAAATAGAAGCTGTATTTGGTACCTATATTTGATGTCTAATAAAGGAGATTGGGTTGGTTCAGACACTTAAATGTGGCAGTTTCTTTTTCATGTAATGAAATCTTCTCTTAGTTGATATCATGGTTTTACCCCAAGTTTCTTTTCCTGAGGTTTCTATTCTGAGGCCCTCTGTACCTGTGTGTGATTCCTAAGCATGATCATTTACTGTATAAATATTTTAAACACAGCTAGAAGTCAAAGTGCACCAGCCACTATCTCCAAAAAGTTGATTCTGTTCATCTGGACGTAGTGTTTTGTGGGAGAAACGTTTCGTCACTCACCCAAGTGACTTCTTCAGTTCCTTAATCTTAATTAAGATTAAGGAACCGACCTCCCAGACCACTGTTCCTTCAGTGGGCTGGTTTCAGTCATTATGCAAATGTTCTGTTTATAAGATTGGGGAAACCTGCAGTCAGCTGAGACTGAAGAACTTTTTGGAGATTTACTTTCCTGGATGATTGAGAATGCATCAAGACACCAGCCACTATGTTTTCACAACTTAAACTGGCTAGAATAATACACCTTGTGTCAGGAAAACAATATCACTTTGTGTACAGTAGCAATTTGATATCATTAGAATTGGTAGTATTTCAAGCACCAATGGTACCTTAACTCCAGTCTTTTATGAGTAGTTCATGTGCACCCAGTTCTGTTTACAGCATCAGACCTAGATGAACGTGGGGGCGGACTGTGGCTAGAAACCCTGTGGGTGCAGTCCTGTCAGCAGTAGATCTCACCGCCAGCCACAGATCTCACTGGGGGATATTGCAGAAGGTTCTATGATTTTCTCCCACAAATACAGATCATTCTTCTTCTGACAAATGTATAAAAATCCCTGAAACCATGAGAACTGTTTGCCAGAACATTATCAATGTTACAGCCTTCTTTATGAGGAACTAAAGGAGCAATCAGCTTCCTGTGTGCTCACCGATCCTGCAGCACCCACGCCCTCTGCCTTTTAACGATGCTTAAGTAAACATAAACAGCACTGTATAGTTTTATGGTCTTAATCAATCAACAAAGACTATTTTGGACTCTGGGGATTGCAGCTCTGCTTTTTCCCAAGTACGGTCACCAACATGTCCCTAAAACTTCACACAGATCCCACCGCTATAGGTTGAACCTGAATCCCTCAACAAAACATCACATTTTATGTTATATAATTTTCTTTTTTCTTTTCATGTCTGATTACCTTTTTTCCATACTTGGAACTGTCTGGATTCCTTTTTTAACTGCTAATAAGTCTATGAAAACATATCGTAAAACATAAAACGCTGCCAGAGTGAAATGCTATGTCTTGTGGCAAGAGACAAAAATAAAAAACTAAATATTATATGACAGGTAAAGTAAACTGAGAGTGACAGTGTGTGAAATCAGAGCCAAAGATGTTTGAGTTTTGATCTGCTTACTCATCTGTTTCAGCAGTGATTGTTTGAAAGAGTATTGATAGATCTTTGGCTATCAAATAAAATGTCAGACTTTTAGCTTGCCATGTTTTAGTGCTCAGACTTTAGATACTACAAGTCCGAGTCTATAAATGTGACAGTGTCCCGCATATGTTACAAGCTCAAGAAACATTTGTCAGAGAGTCACTAACCTCCTTTGGGGAACAAAGGCATCTGACCTTTTCCATCTATTTCTAGGAAGCGCGGTAGTGACGGATGCATCCATGCAAGCTTTTGACAGTGTTTGTGTTGGCAGCTAGTTAGTCAGCTGCATCTGTTTCCGCTCTGCTCTTTAGTCATCGCTGATGTTTCTTGGTGGTGCACTCTTTACATGCAGATTCTTTAAAACAACCCAGTCATTCCAAGAAGGGATGGAAGAAAAATGAAGTAAATATATAAACTAATATGTTTTCTGAGACTTTTTTGTTTTTCAGTGCTGTTTGTCTTTGACTGTTTCTGTTACATAATTGCAGACACTTTTTTTGGGTGGTCGGTGGGGGTTGATTATTGGCCCTGAACTAAGGCCTTGAAAAACACATTTTTCCCCCTTTTGTTTTATATCAACTATATATCTATTTATATCTATATCTATATCTTTTTGGATTTATGCTCCAACTATTTGATAGGAAGGCGCTACAACCAAGCTAGCAGATATTTGAAACAATGCTTAGGCCCACAACAGGTTCCGTATGTATAACTTAAAAAAGAAAAACCAAAATGACAATTTAAAGACAGATGTTTCCTCTTTTATAAGAGATACAGAACACTAGAAAGAGTACTTGCCTTATCTCCATTCAGAGCATCATGGATTTCACTGTTCAGAAAATCTGTACACGTTTAGATATTTACATGTATAAATAAATACATCTTCAGGAATTGTGTGCATATATATTTTTATGTGATTGACTCCAAAACGTACATGCAAGCTACATCCAATAATGCATTGTCAGCACCATTAAAGCCCTTATTGATTTTAATTTTGTTTAATTTTTTTCTATGATGCTGATTGATGACTTCTCACTCTTCAGGTTATGACACCAGACTGGCTAATCTGTGCCATCATGAATCCTTGTCATTTCTCTTTAAACCTGAAAGGAATCTTTGTCAATTTGGTGGTCCGATGCATTTCATAATAACACATTTAGAAATTCAGATAAGCTGAAAAAGTAGAAAATATATCACGCCTGATGTCCAGATCGGCACAATTTTTAGTTTTTCTTTTTTCTTTTGTGATATATTTGAATTTTTGGGAACAATAAGGACTTATAAATGCTGATTATATAATTATATTTCTGTTGGTTATTACATAAATCAAGAGTAAATATCATCACACTCAACGATTGCTACATTTAACTAAATGCATATATCAAGGACACTTCAACATTACACACCAACACCAAATCCAACATTACATCTCATTGTAGCATAGTCTTGTGTAAGTTGGTGAATACTCTTAAGGATAGAAGAGTGACAAATAACTTGTGATTGAAAGTATAAAATGTAGTCTGAAACAGGAAAGTACATATAAGGTTGGCTTTATCAACTGATATTGCATATATTTTTGAATTTGTAATGCTGCTATAAATGTTGCTAACATTACACTTTGATTTTAGGATTTAACTGTGTGCTCCATTCTTTATCATAAGATCATTCTCATTAGCCACTTGAGGGATTGTCTAGTGCTGAAAACATGCAAGATCAGTTTCCCATGTTTTTCAAAAGTAAATTTACACTAAAAGCAGATCTGGACCTTTTTATTGACTTGGCTTGCATACATACAGTACAGCTTTGGTGTTGTGACATGGGAAAAAGATCTTTCTTTGTATGAAACCACTGTTCTGTTTACTTCTATTTATGAGATTCCCTCCTACTTGATTTTCCCATCTTAGCAACTTGCACTTAAGTGGTAGACAAGGAGCTCCACCACTTAGCCAACTAGCCAGCACTGTCCTCAAGGATGGCTCACACAGGATACATTACAACCAAAAGGTTGGGTGTAGTGAAAATCCACATTTTTATATCTATGTGAGGGTGAGATAACAGACCAGAACCAAAATAGAAAATAGGTTATGTGATAAATATTAGTCATGCATTGATAGTACTCCACTATGTGAGATATTCTTTTATTAAAAAGACAAAGTATTTGGTCCATGCTACAAATTATTCAGGCAATCAACTGATTCAAAACAACCAACTGTTTTACTGCCGTTCCACTTTAATTTCCCTTTGTTTTACCTTTTAAAAAGTCATTTGCTCTACTTTCCATGCAATAAGGTCTTAAGGGGGGGAAATCACAAAACACTTCACATATCATAGTCACATCTTTCTGGATAAAACTTTAATGTCTTCTAAAATGATTTAACATTGTTGTACATTTAAGGTGAATCTTGAGGTTTTTTAATAAAAGCAAAACTGCAAAATGTTTTTCATCGTCTTATCTTAAACTTGTGACTTGGTTTACAGTTTTTCTTTCTTTTGAAAACACTCACTATGTAACCACTGAGCGGTAGGGAAACTTGAAACAGGCACTACTCCATTTCAAAGTAAAAGCTGTGTCTTGTCACTTTTGCTTTCAAGGCAAACAGTCTATGTTTCCGGTATGGGTCACACTGTTCAGAGTTTCACAACTGCATAATGAGTAATTGGTGAGTGTTTGAGGCCAAGTCGGCGCCATGCATGTATTCATGTTGGAACCGCAGCAATATACTATTGACCAAAGATATGGAAGGAGGTTATTGGTGCAGCAATTTATAGCTCTTTGCAACTAATGTCATTTAGCAACGGAAAGCAATACCAATGCGTGTGGTTAGATTTTAGTGACTAGGCCTTAGCAATCGATTTAATAATGACTGTTAGCAACCTCCAGCAACTTCTTTGTACAACTACAGTAGGGGAATACTCATTTTTCTCCAGTTACTCAGCTTTATAGATTTGGAATGCCTTAGTTTTTCAGACCAAATGGAGCAGGTCAGAGACAATAAACTTCTCATCTTCTTCCTCCATCTCTTTTACTTTTTCATGCTACCACCATGTGTCAAAAGTGCATGGTAAACAATGGGGCCCAGCTTACACATAATGATAAATCTGTCTGACAAAGTTCCAACACTGTGATGCAAGTAGTAAGTATATGTTAGGTTATGTTTATAAGGGATTTTTTCAAAAGAATGATTTTCAAATCCCAAACTGAAGAACTAACTTTCTGACCTAGTTAAAGATTTGTCTGGTTTCTATAGAGATTACTTTTACATGTTTTGATATAGATTTAGTGTGTATATTGGTGTGTGTTGGTGCATCCCTGTACTTTTTTCAAAGGAAATTTTGATTTACATTTGAGGTCATGCTAGGAAACCATCAAGTTTAAGAGTCCAAATTTAGGAACGTGCGTGTGTGTGCGGGGGTGGGTGGGTGGAAAGGTGGGGCTATTTCAAAAGGCATTTTTTTCACTTTAGCTGAATTCAAAATGTAATTTTGAAATGTAATATCTATGACATTCACAATTTGGATTTTGGAAAACAAAAGTCTTCCAGATTATAGTTTGCACACACACACACACAGTAGTTTATTATAAATATTTAATCGAAATTCTTCATTAGTTTTCTTTTTTTCAAACCATCTAGCTACTGTTTAAAATCTCCCCACCTACCCACCCCTGCCCTAGCTACTCAATTTAGTTGACCAGGAGCTCCTGGTACTGCTCAGACCGGAGGAAACGGCCAAAGGAGTCTTTCTCCATGAGGGCATAGATCCTCTTCTGGGCCAGGTCAAAGGTTGAAGGGGAAAGCTCCACCAAGTTCCTCAGGGTCACATCCTTGGTGAAGTGGTCAATATTGACCTGTTAGAGAGATTTAAGACAAAAAACCAAAATTCTCTCAGAAGCAAGTAAAACTAGGATAAATAAGAGAAGTTGATATAAAATACGGGTGAAAATACGAGTAATATTTTAATATGTTAGCACTAACAGGCAGGCATCTGTTTCTATCTAGTCTAACCTCTCATGCAAATATGTTTGCCAAGACGGTAACGGCAATAACCTGAAATTTTACACTTAAATGTGATGTCACAGAGGCTACAGTCTTTGTTATTTCTAATTTTATAAGGTCATTCTGATCAAAAAGGTAGATCTTATGAAATAAAAACAAGTATTTCTAAAACTTGTTCACTCAAAACTCACTTGGAAGACTCAGTCATGGTTTTCTCCATGTTAGTTACGGAGTGTACCAATGGTGATAAAAGCAACAGATAAATGATTCTTCTTTCTCTTTGTTGCAAAAGAGAAGAATTACCACTGTTCCAAATGCTGGATTGATTCTCAGTTTTAAAAAGTTTGGTTATAGAAGGCTGATGAATATTATGCTTTTGTTTCTAAATAATGCAATTTGAATTCTGCCTCTAACCAATTTTATATATATTATATACAGCTCTCTGTGGAGTGATTGCTAATCTAGGGTGCTATGTGTTTTGGTTGTCATTCTCCTGCTTTTTGTTTTTTAACTTTTCTTTTATTATTACTAGTTACTTAATCATTCTTAGCCTGGTTTGATGGATTTTCCTTAAGTGGCCCAAACACGCAAAGATTAAAATATGCAAAAAAGTTATGCAGTTGTACCAATGCTGCAAATATTTGTACATTAAGGCTGTTCTGAGTCAAATTTAACCTGTATCTATTTAGATCCACCAGTATGCCTCAAATTGTGGCAAACAATGTTCTTAGTCAGTCTTGAAACTGTGAACCTGTGGACTGTGGAAGGCAGGCAGAGCACAGAAAACCCACACAGGCGGGGGAGAAGTTACAAACACAGAAACGACCCAGCCGAGTTTAAAACCAGGAAACTTCTTGCTGTTTTGGGATAGCACTATTAACTCCACCATGCTGCCTATATCATTATTAAGTATAAAATAATGTTAATATAAAATGATATAATTTAACGTAATGAATTATATTAATAATTGAAGGTTGTAGCGATGGTACTTTGGCATTGTGAAATCAAAAACAAATTCACTCTCAACTTAGGATACAGGATTAATGAGTCATTTAATAATGTCAGATAAACTATTTTTACATTCCAAACAGATCTGTGCTTTGGAATTCAGCATAGACAGTCATTATGGAAATCTTGTCCTGGGTCAGTTTGACCTGGAACATACTGTGAACACATGAAATACTTAGAGTATGGAGAGTGTTAAAGTAAGAGGTCAAGCATCAGTTTCCACTTTGTGAAACAAGCAATGTATGATTAATTTGAAGATTAACTATCTATCATCTTTATGAGGCTGAGCTGATGAAAGAGTAGGGATAGGGAAGTGACATGAGTGCCTGACCTCTCTGGGTCCCTCAGACTGGATAAAGTCTTCGTAGATCTTCTTTGCCTTGGCAGCCATCTTCGCTGGGTTCTTGGTCTTCTTGAAATCCTCACAGGCCATCCAGAACTCGATGTTCTCATCACTGAACTCAGACTGCAGGAAGCTACGGAAGGCAGACAGACCATCTGATAGAGGGAGACACGACAGAGAAGGTCATGAACTGATATGTTATAGGATACAGACTCACAGGTTGTTATCAAAATCTCTCTCCTGGTATGCACTTCACTGAGGAAATATGTTGGCAATTGTAAGCTTCAGTTAAGTTACAGTGACAGTCTAAGTCAAACTAAACATGATTTGAGTATATCCGTTACACTTCAAACATGGCTCAAGAATATGGGTAATGTCATATTCCCGTAAAGACTACAAAGTTAAAACTGGAAATGAACACCATACAAAACGCATCTTATTTTGAAATGGGTTCCAAGTTTGTCACTTAATGAAGAGACTTTCAATTTACTAACGATACAGAGGAGTCAGCTGTTAAGGTGAAATGTCAGAACAGTACAAAAGGATCTCTGCAAATCACAGTATTATATCATCAACCACTGTGCTTATTAACAGCTTTTGTCTACAAAAAGGGACTAATTAGAGAACAGCTTACATACAGCAATGTAGAAAGAAAGGGACTTACATGTGCTATAATGTATCATTTCTTTTTATTTGATGACTGTACGTAAAAAAACAAACAAACAAAAAATAAATAAATTAAAGGAACAGAAAGCTCCAATGTCATTCTAGCAATGGTGACATTGATAAGGAACACTGATAACAAAAACAAAGAAAAAAACTCAACATGGGTTGTTCTGAGTCCACCATTAATATAACTTGTGAGAAAACTGTTTGCGTCCAATGAAAAAATAAAGACTTCTGTTTTTATTCAGTTTGCAGGGCTCTAGAGTGCGACCAATTTGGTCACAAATGCGACCAAATTTTTCAGTGGTGCGACTAAAAACAAAATATTTGGTTGCACCTGTGCGACCAACTGTTCGGGTAGCAAAAAAAACCCCCAAAAAACTGCAACCTTCCCTGTGGTCAACAACAGACACACATTTTGCCCCTATCGTGGACTAAACCAATCAGAGATAGTCAGGGGCGGGACTTCTCTGATTGGCCGTGGTCCAGTTGAAAGTGCAGGTGGCAGTGGGAGGTGAGTAGCTTGAATAAAGCGATATCAATTCATTAAATCCTGAATCGACTTTTAAATATAACTGTGTTTTGCCAGAAACGCCAGATTCTCAGATTAAAGCTCACAAAACCATTTCAACAACAACCAAACAGCAGATGAGAGCAGGTACACGGATTCCACACAAAGACGTAAACACAGACCCGACGCATCAGAATCAACTTTGTCTTTCTCGGCTTTCTCACCCGACGGCCCGTAGACGGACACGCTGTCGGAGCTTAGTGGTTCTGATGCGTCCGGTCCGCGCTGTGATTATGTCTTTTTTGCGCTGATTCTGAGCTGCAGGTTTTGTCTCTCCAACCAAAATTCACTGAGCCAGCAGCAAAAGAAGCAGCAAACTGCGCTTCACATTTGATCAATGTCGTCATGAATTTTGCTGTTTTGCTTCCACGACTATTAAAATCACACTTCATGCACAGCTAGCACTCTCTCTATCTCTCTCTGTACTTCAAGAACAGTTTCCCGTCTCCAATCTCTGTTTTCTGTATTATTCATTCGCTTATTACCCACCAGTCTACCGTTGTTTACAGCGCTGTCGGCTGCTGTCTTTTTCTTTCCTTTTTCTTTTTTTCACTTGAATGACCTCCGACAAGAAAGCCTATTTTTTCTGTTGTTCAATACTGAAGAAATTTAAACTTTATATGCAGAACATTGTAGAATATTTTTAAGGTTATCTGCTATAAAAAGCCAGACCAGGAAAATCAGCTTCATGTTTTTCTGTGTTTTATTCTCAGTTACTTTCACACAAAGGCATCTGCTGTGATGTTCACAATTCTGATGAAGTCAGTACTGATAAATGATCAGAATTATAATATTTCTGACTGTCTGAGGCTAAATTGAATCGAATCGGGACTTTGAAAACCGGAATCGAATGGATTATAGAAATCAGTGATGATACCCAGCCCTAGTGAGCAGCCTAGGCACGACAGAAGTGGATGTAGCTGTAATAGGAAAAGAACTATTGCTAACTTTTCTTTTAAGTTAAGGCCTGATCCTTCTGAAATTCATAGCCAGTGCTCTGACACGGTGTCATCAATCTTTGAAAGCTGAAAAAGCACAGTGTATCCAGAAAAACACATTATATTATATAAATTATTATAAAATTTGTGTGCACCTAACTTTTTAAAGTTAGGCGTACCGGTACGCCCATGGCAAAAAGTTCGTCTAGAGCCCTGAAGTTTGTTATGGATGGCAGCCAAGACTTAGGAAAAGCTAATAATTTGGATTGTAGAGGAGAAACTCCTCCATTCCCAAGCAGCAATGTTTCGTGCTAAAAAATGTAGCCACTTAGGTTGTCTCTAAGAGCACATCCTCTCTAAAGTGACAGGATCTACTTATCAGCTCTTTAATGCTCTTTCATTTAAAAATGCTAAAATCCATGTGCAAACCTAGACACAGTCGGCAGTAATGACAGACTCTACTCTTGCAGAACAACACTCCTTGTCAAACAGTAGAAACTGTTTCCGAACAACTCAATGAGCACAAGAAATGGTTCAAAAGGAGTGTTGACTCAGCCTCTAGATTTTCCAAAGACTAATCCCACTGCATATTAACTGAAATAAGTCTGATCCACAAAGGCCCCAACCTTCAGCCCACAAGGCCCAAAGGATCTATTGCCAGAGTCCCAGAGTCATGGTTTTATGTATGAAAGACTGTTTTTTTGTTAATTTTCACTAAACTTGGGGAATCAAATGCAGGACAGAGATCCAAATGTTTAAGCTCACAATAGCACGTTTTTAGCTGATTCTGGTCTCTGTGGCTAATTTCCCACTAGACTGCTTTTGCAGAGCTGGGCTAAATTTTATGAAGGCTTAAAAAGACTTGTTAATACTTGAGAGCCTGTTGCTGCTCGCATATTAATGCCAAGTGACAGGTGTGTGCTGACTAGCTGTCTGCTGATTACTTCCTCACCCAAGTCACTGAACTGGACCTTTCAACCATGTTTGTGATGTTGGTGTCTTTTGTATGATTTTTCCCAAATTATTGTTATGTGACACATAAGTCTGTGGATGCAGCTTGTGCTAACTTTGCACACCTCCCCCTTGTCCAAATATGGACACTTCTGGCTCCCCCTGCAAAAAGCTGGCAGTGACATAAAACTAAGTCAGTGCTTCAAGGCTGTTTTTCTCAATGCAGTGGGTGATGTCACAGAGGCTATGTCAGTCTTTTGTATAATGTCTGTGGTTACTCCTCTACTTTCTGTTACCACACTCCAGGGAGAGGGTGACAACCATGCCGTCTTTTAGAAAAGGTCAGGCATTTTTCATGAATTAAATCCTAAACCCCCCACCACCCCCCACCAACCCCTCAATAACTGACCACTGTTGCTGTTTTTTTTTAGAAAAATATCAGTCCACCTATACTTTTCTAACTGCTACCTGTTTTCCATTTGTCATACGTCTGTTTTTCCCCTCCTGACTAAAACCATAATTAAAGCATTACATAGCAGACACCTCAGTTTCAAAAGCCTTTATTTGACAAATGAAACTGCCAATGTTACACATTCCATGTCTAAATAGGACTTTACATGATTAAGAAGCTGACAGAATTAATGTAAACTGTGCCTAGATTACAATGCATTTCTGTTGTTACTGATTAAAAGCGGATGGATGGTGTATGTTATTTAGTGGGGCTTTACCTCATACCTTTAAAAAAAAAATCCACAAACAATTAAAAAAAAGCCCCCACAACTTTATAAACATTTAGACAACTACCTTTCAGGAATGTCAAAAAGTAACAAATTGATTATTTATGGACAAATATAAAAGCACTTTGGTTATCACAAAATAATTATCCAAACTAAAGCTTGATAAAACAGCCACTCATTTCCCCGAAGGCCATTGTAGCTCAACACAATGCCTGCAAAAGGTCCCATTGTCTATACAGGCATATGCTGCAAATGATAAGCTTTCTGCTGCGGCCTCAGGCCTTTATCTTCAATCTAAATGGCTAGCTTGATTAAAAATAGCTCAGAGTCCTAATCAAGTTGTTGCTTTTTCTTTTTTTGTCTTTTTTGGAACGAGTACAAGGGCACACAAAAAGCAAAGCGCACATGCACAGGCACAAGTTTGTAAATGAGAGCTGCAGCGACCAAAGAACACAGCCTCGTGTTTAGTGTTTGTGTATCTGCCTTTGACTCGATACTCATGAAATTAGTTTTATTAAGCTCCAGTGAACCTTCTTGCTGATAGCAAGTGAATTATTCAGCAACACGTTTAAAAACAAAACCCCTAAAAATGAAATTACTGTAATTTAAACCAAAATACTATGCCACCAATTAAACCCTTTTTATGTCAAGTGTAATCTTTTTTTCCTTTTTTACAGGTAGGTATGCATTATGTATTTTCTTCATAATATTGACTGTTGTGCGAGGGCGTTGGTGTTGGGGTTGTGGGGGGCAGAGTGTATCTCTGTGCATGAGAGAAAATAATTCATTTACAATCCCAGGGGACTTAACAAGGAAAAGCCATAAAGACTAATGTTAATGCAAAATATCATGTAGATAAATAATCACGGTGTGACAGTTTGCGGCAACTGTGCAATAAATCAGTGCTGCTGGAATCACTTAGACTGCTCCCTAGAGATGTAACCAAAACACCCATAACCTTCCTGGGCTGGTATACACATTTATTCAAGCATACAAACACTGGAGGAACGTACATCTCTCTGCCCCAGACGGTGCTGAAGGAGCCACTTAGAAAGGTTCATTGCCACTCCACTGAGCTCGGTAGAGGAAATGGTTCTCTGTTCACGTATCAGCAACATCTGTATCTAGGGTTTGTTTTAATGCGCAGGGGCCACCTAAGTGACTTATTAGCTGGGGAGTTTACACGTAGTACTAAATACCGCTAACCATTAGAGTTAATCATCAGTCTTGCAGGCTCTCAGGCTTTCTGTTCACTTTGCGAGGTAAACAGCCGAGCCAGAAATTGAGTGTTTGCTGCGCATAGTGACTGTAAATATTCCTTTCCCTTCTTCTTACATTTTTCAGCATCTATGCCAAAAACTCTCTTTATATAACTCTGTCCCCTGCAAACTATTTCATTATGTGTATTATGTGTTTTTTTGGATAGATATATAATTAGATAAATGCATTTTATCCCCTTTTTAAAGATTTAAAGATGTTATATAAAGGTTTTTTTATTCATATTTCACCAAGCTCCTGCTACCCATAGTGTACTGTAAACCCATGCAGAGTGAGCACATAATATTGGATGAGATAAAGATCAAAACCTTATCGTCACCATCTCTCTTATCCAATTAAAACACCATGGCCACATGTAGGTCTTAAGCACACACGTTTGCTGTCATGGAAACCAAAGCCTGCTAGCTGTACTGTTTCTGTTTAAACTGTCTTGCAGACAGACACCAGACCTCAAAGAAGGCATGTTTTCACCCTTTGACACTGATTAAAGTTAAACTACAATGATAGCTCTTACATAATGGAAATGACAGCTTTGGACAGAAGAAAATAATGATGTTCTTCAGGCTTCTCTATGAGTACAACAAAGCAAATTCACTGTGTGGTGCACGTAAAAGGGTAACTTTACTTGGAAAATGTTCAATTTTGGGATTTCAGAAAGCAGAATTGTTGGTGTGCATTTCTGGCTTTGCTGTTACATAAACTGAAAGACGTGTGAGGTCCAATATCAAGAAGCAACAACTTTCTTTTTTTTTTTTTGAAAAAACACTTTAGAGACCAAACACTTTTTAGTAACAGCCACATCCACCTATTCATGCGGTGCTTTACTTAACACCCTTTCTATCTGCCACACACACATTTATAAGGAGACGTCAGGGGCACTACTTGAACATGTGTACTGGAGGAGACCTTCCAATCCACTCCAACTTCTTGAGCCACAGATGTCACATAAAAAAATAAAACTCAGCCTTTTACAAAAAATAGGCAACAACAAGAAACGCAACAAAACGTTCAGCTTGAGCTTTCTGGTTAAGAAAGTGTAAGTGTGAGAAATAGAGAGGGTTGACTTACAGCTGTTGTTCAGGACCCGGTCCAGACTCTCGCGCCATTGAGAAGCCTCTTCAGGAGCAGGCCTGTGTGCACAAAAACACCTCTTTTCAGTCAGGAGGAAAAACAGTGTAAAACTTACCTCAGGAGCTAAGAAGGCTTTCTTTACGGTCTTTAGCTGCCATGTTGTTAGTGCTTGAAGCTTACAATTTAAACTGCAAAAAAACAGTTATTAAGGTAAACTTATGGTACAAAACTGCTTCCTGCACAATGCAGAGACTGCTAAGTGGCAGTAAAGGTAAAATGTATGTATTTATTAATAATCAGGAAACATTTCAGCCTTCTCACTGAATAACTGTACAGACACCTTTGTACATGAGTGCTGATCCAACCCAAAACAATCCTTGACTTTGAGAAATCTCACTCAGACTCTTTTTTTAAAGCAGCCGGTTAGACGTAGATCGTTGTTGATCAACACAGGTGTTAATAATCACAATAATTAAGGCTCAGACCTAAAAAAAAATGCTTCTTTAATTCTTTAGTGTTTGCCTTGTTTTCCTTTGAAAATGGTTGGGGAAAATAAAAATGACTGTCAACAGACACCAAGTAAACCTCTGACGAACTGTTGCCAGACAGCTTCAGAAAACAGGCTATAAATATTCAAACACATTGTATTGTACTGTATTGTCCTTGTCTGAAAAAAGCCAGATGAAAGCTTTTGAACTGAGTTTGCACTATAAGATTTCACATTTCTGCAGAGGAAAAATAGACCGTCTATGTCTGAATCTTTCCCCGTCATTTCCACTGAGCTCCAACTTTAAACTCATTCAAAGTGGACTTTTATTAAAGAAATTGGACAAAGAAGTCAGATTGTGAAACAATGCTGCCTTCCAGTCACCTTTTTAGGGAGCATTTCCAAAGCAGCCTGCTTTTTTTTATGGGGGAAAAATAGTTGGAATAGCTAGTGAGTGACACCCAATCTGTATCTTTAAAAAAAAACAAAGGAAAAAAAGTGTGCTTCAGAAAAAATGAGGGTTAAGAATAAATAATAAGAATTCAAACCAAAGCTTACGGAATAACGAAACATAAATTCGATTTTCTCGATGATATAAGAAAAAAAATGGAGTTCTGACAGCTCAGGCAGGAGAGCTGCTGCGACTGCTGTCAGCCAAACTAAACAAAAAGGTCAAAGGAGCTGCAAGACAAATTTATAATAAATAAACCCAAATAAAGCTTCTGCCACAGCCACATAAACCTTCCTCAAAGCTACACTGTGGCTGGTTTTTAGGTGGTAAAAAAAAAAAAATCATCATGCTTTTACTGACACAAGTCAAGGTCTTTCTAGTCTAGTTATGCTACAATTTATTTAAAACATTTTCCATTATGTTAAAAACAAACATTAAAGGCAAAAGTTTCCCTTACAACACCAAAAGTCTAGGTGTACAGTAACAGAAGACAAATAAACACAAAAAACCGGCATAATTTAGCATCTCATACATATTTTTCCACTACCACAGTCTGTTCAAGGCAATGCATTTGAAATCTCAAGCTTTGTACCGTCACACTCCCAACGTCTGAGCCCACTCAATGTCTGGGGAGGTTTCACTTGATCTCCACATCTTGTACCTGCTTGGGGCTCTGTTCTCCCGCTTTACCATCAATTATCTGGTTAACAGATAATCAGGAAAATACTACCCACATCACAGACATTCAGCCCTCGGAGGGAAAAACACTCACTTCTGGAGCTTCTCCGGTTTCTTTTCAGTCTTCTCAGGGTAGGGGATGATGAGGTCGATGGCATTTTCCGGCTTCTGCAGTAAGACTCCTAATTTCGACTTGATCTCCTTAGCCCTGAATGACAGAAAGAAGAACGGGACAACAACGCTTTAACATCTAACAGTCCGGTCCAGATGCTTATCAAATTGTGACACTGTGATAAGTGTCATCCTCTAACCAGAGTAGTATATTTGAACAGGACACTGACATTACACTCACAAGTAAAAATCTGCTTTAACAATCAGTGTAACACAGCTTCAGAAATAAAGCTGCTAAAACTGTTAAAAAAAAATAAGTCAGGAACAAAACCTAAAATCCAGGTCTTGTTTTTATTTTAGTATTTACCACACTTTTTTTTCTCTTTCTCTCATTAAGCAACATGCCTGACCTCCTTCAGTGTTTGAATGCTTAAGCAATACACTATTCATCTGTAAAACAATAAAAGCTTTAAAACAAGTCATGTACATTATTCTCTGTGTCAAAAAGCCTGTTTAAAAATAATTTATAGGAGGCAGAAAATAGACCACAAAAGTAAAAACTCATAAAGTGAACTTCTTTTTGCTTTAAAGTGCTTTCCAGTGCATACTGTTAACTTTAATGGCACAGAACTCCCACAAACAGGTTACAAAGCTTAGTCAAACTTTGCGGGATCCAAACCACATCACAGCAACACACTATTAAGATGTAAGCAATGATTCAGTACTCACCTTTCGAGGCAGGTTTGGGGTAAAGCGGCTAATCCTTTGCACATTTTCCAGTGCTTTCAATTGCAGTAAAGAACAAATTCAGTTTTCCTGTTAACCCACAGTCACTCCAGGGTTCCTTTTCCTTTCTGACTCTGCCTTTCAGCACATAGGGAGTTTTATACAGACGCCTTTTGGGCTGCGGGCCAACAGCTAAGCCAATCAGACTGGAATGTGTACTGCACGGGTAGCCTGGCTGAGGAAGGGTGGGTTTTCAGATGTGAATGGCTCTTTGCTTTGAGGTTTTAATTAACTGGTCCAGATACAGAAAGGAACATTAGATTTCACTGATTTAAAGTTTATGTAACAGGGATCTGAAGGTGCTAATCACGGTGTGGTTCCCATCTTGTCAGTGTGTTTATTTTATTTGCAGTGATGCATTTGAAAACAGTTCTTCTGGATTTTGTATTTATAGTTCCTGTTATATTTGTTAGTACCAATTTGTTTTCTGATCCTATTTACAGGATGTTTTTTTTTTTTTTTACCATTTTACACATTTCTTTTAATCTGACACATGAGCGTGGCTAAGAGTGAATGTGTTTACAGTTCAATTGAGTTCTTTTTGTATATCACAAGTCACAATAACAGTCTGCTCAAGGTGCTTTATGTTTGAAAACCCCCCACAATAATACACTATGCTATTGTTTAAAACTATAAAACTATAATGTATAACTTAACTGCGACTGAAGTTTGATGCTAAGTATGAGCTAATGTTTAACTTGTTTTGTTCCAGTTAATTGTGTCAGCTGTGTATACATAGACTTTTTTTTAAAAAAGTCACTTTATTTGGCTTTTCCCCGCCCAATGTACTGAGCAAAGAAGAAAGAAAAAAGGCAAATGTACACATTAGTTATAAAGGTATTTTTTGATTCATGTCGGGCTATTGGGCTAATTTTGATTACAAACAAAAATCTGCAAAACTGTTGTTATTTTTAACCAAATTGAACTTTTCAATTTATTGAGTATTAATAGTTTAAAGCCATTTATATGGATATCTGAAACCCCAATCTGGGACTTTTGTAGGCTTGACTTGCTGTCACCAGAAACTCTAAATTGAAGAAGCTAAAAGAGAGCCTTCATCAATTTTCATCTTTTGACTGACATATTCCAAGTTCCAAAGTCTGTAATTCTAACTTCTAGTATGGTAGTTCTGTCCCCACTGCTCCATATTATAGCTTACCCTGCGACTCAACATTTTTAATTACAGATCATTTGCTCATTTTGTTTATTGTTGTTTTATGTCACACAACTGACTGTGCTGTCTAAATTACAACCGACCAACTGCGTCTCCTAAAAATTGCATATATACATAACGGCAATAAATTGTTTACCCAGTTACATTTACTGGGCAATGTACATCTATTTGCTGCCTGGGTTAAGCTGCGCCTCATTAATTATCTGCATCAGAGTAGACATGGTGGCTGAAATGCATGACTCATGTACATAGCAATCAACTCTCTCACTTGAGAGCAAGATTTACATCCTGGCTCGAAGACACCCGTACTTTGGCAGATGCTGTGCTGCTTTCTGCAGAAGTATGAACTCAGCTTTAACCAGATTTGACCAGAAATTTGATCAGAGATAATGCTTCTCTGAAAGAAATTATGACCACTAAAAAATCCTGTATCTGACTTGCACATAATGCAAATGCAGTAGCCAGTTTTCTGGCTGAATATTCCTCTGATTATTTATAAATATATAAGAATAAATGCTCACAGTGCCACATGTGCTCACTCTCTGCAGATTCACTGCAGAAATACATGCAGTTTTGAAAAATAGGCACTTAAGTTAAGGTTAGAAAGGTTAGTGGGGTTTACTTAAAGGTAAGTATGCCATCCGTCTTTTTTTATACACTAAGTATAACTTGGTCATAATTATTGTTTTCCTCAAAATCAATTTAGCTGTAAATGTTATTTTCACAAGGCTGCATTGGACTGGGAGACGGTGACAGTTTTCTCTAATCTTGTACATTCCACTGAGTCACACAATATGGTGCGATGACAACTTCAGGGTTAAGTGTTAATTCACACATTGAGCGTCCTTAAATGTCCTTCAACCATGACGCATTCATTGATTCAGTCTGATTCATCCCAAAAGATTTTGCAGCTTCTAAAATGTCGTTCTACATCTGTTTTACTGTTTGAACAATTGCAAGCTTAAGATTATTTTCAGAATATCAGTGAGTAAATGCACCATTCCTTTTAGTAACTTCAGGGACAAAATACATTCTTGTAAATACTGCTTTTTAACATCTCTGTATATGGTAAACACAGCAGACTGAAAATTTTTTAACTTTGAAATCTATTTTCTCTTTTTTTTTTTGGCATGATTGGAAAAACTGCATGAGTATATGTACTCTTGATTGCTGTCAAATAAATACATCTATCTGTCTTGAAAATTAGTTTTCAGCTGTTACAGCACTTATTGAGCATTATATTGAATGTACTGCCCAAGGTCCAAAGAAGAAAATTCTGCTGAATGACTAAAGCATGATGTGGTCACAAGTTTTTCATTGACAATGTAAGCCACCTACATTTAATTGAGAAAAATAGTGATGAATTTCTTCATTCACATGCTGCTTGCCAGTGTTATAAAGGCCGGACATGTTATACGACCAATTCATTACAAAGATAGAGCCGACCAATCCGAATTCTCTCAAAGTTTTGATGCTGATCAAGATTCTAATCGGCAGCAGAAGTTATTAGAAAGCAATTATGAGGCTTCTGATTTTAAAATCTCATCATGAGCAGGTTATTGTACCAACTTTATTAACCTTAGTGTCATTACTCTTTTGTGCGTGCATTTAAGTCACTGCCTTGGGCCCCTTTAGAGCCAAATTTAAATCTCTTTCTGAAACGTGACATGAGTGTAATACGTGCGACATGTGCGCTATAAGTTAATTTGTACCACTGAGCATACACGTAACTGAATACATATGCACTGACCTGCTTTGGAAAGGAGGAAGACAGTTCACTGTTAGCTCTCAAAGCTAACTGCAACAAACCTTTCCCCCAACAACGATCAAGACTTGAATACTTATACTTAGTTTTTAACATACATGTGACTCACTGAATTGCTTCAGTTTACTTTTCTTACTTTGGTATTTGATTTTTTCTGCAGTAAAGAACACTGAAAGTAAACAGAGCTCAAAATTTGCTATGGTGATGAACCCCATGAGATGAAAATCTAAATATATGAGCCAGAACAGCCCTGGAAAATTTCTAGTTTCACACAGTTTAACACTAATAACAAATAAATAAACAGCCATTTTCCTAAGAACATTGAGACTGCTGAAAAAAGAGAGGTAGGGATTTCTCAAATGAGCCCGAGGTGCCCTCTGGACCATGATTTGCATTCTGTAGCCTTAAAAAGAAATCATCATGTTGCTACAACAATGTAGTCAGAAGGCGTAGACTTCTGTACAGCCAGTGCTGTAGGCCAAACAAAGGAGGATGGTAAATTATGCAGCACTTGTTAAACTGAAATATCAGTCTGTCTTGGTATAGGTCAGGGGTCGGCAACCTGCGGCTCCGGAGCCACATGCGGCTCTTTAGTCCTTATAGTGCGGCTCCGCGTGGTTTGGGAAAATAAATTAGCAGTATTTAGCTGAAGTGTAATTTATTTATGTTAGTTCTTTTTTAACTTGTAGTTCTAAATTGGAAGCTTATTGTGATATTGAAATATAAAAATACAATTATATTCTATTATTTTTTCATTGCTCAAAATAAGCGTCACACTCGCGGAAGCCGGTGTACACTCAAAAAAATAAAACATTAGATTTACTTAAAAAAGTTATGTCAAGTGGTTCCACACAACTGCTTTAAGTAACTTTTAAGAAATGTTGTTACTTAGTTTGAACTCAATACTGTTAAGTTAGATTTACGTAAGTGTATTGGCTAAATGTAACTTAATTGCAATGCTTAGCTGATACTTATCTTTGTTGCTTTAAGCCTACATAACTTGTTTAGGCAATATCTTTGTAATACTGTTACTTAGCTGGTACATAACTTTTCTGCTTTAGAAGGACATAACCTGGTTAGGTAGTATCTTTGTAAAACTGTTATGTAGCTGCTACATAACTTTGTTACTTTTGAATTATATAAAATTGTTAAGTAATTTCTATTCAATACAATTACAAATAAATCATTTACACTGGTTACTTCCATACAAATAGCAAAGTTTCTTAAAAGTTACTTAAAGCAGTTATGTGGAACCACTTGACATAACATTTTTAAGTAAATCTTAGGGAGATCTTTTAGGAAGAAATGAAGACAGCACCCAAATTATCAAACACAATCCTGCCTTTAATAAGCACATTCAGTGCATATAAAATACTTTTTTCCAAGCACAACAGCTTAACACAAAGTGCAATCAATGCAACTTGTTACAAATTCCAAGTGAATATTTTGTGCAGAAAATGTAGATCAGTATAAAGTGCTAACCAACTTGTCGTCAAACTAAAATGATTTAAAAAAATGATCCAACAAAGTCCTGTCTTTACTAAGCACATTCAGTGCATATTAAATACTTGTTGACAGACCGAAAAGACTGTAGAGCCGTAGCTTAACACAAAGTGCAATCAATGCAGACAACTTGTTACAACTTTAACTAAATACTTTGTGCATAAAACAATATTTTACTTCAAAGATCAGTGAAGTGCTAACCAACTTGTCTTTCAACTGGTCCAGAAAGCATCCAAATTATCAAAAAAAATCCTACATTTTACAGGACGTTTCAGGAATTATTTTCAAACACTGATAAGCATGAAGAGCAAACTAAACTCATTTAAAACAGTGAAAATTGGCTGTTTTGTTCAAAAACTGTACTGTAAAACAGTGCTACTCAGTTTTTCAAGTTATGGTTACATCCCAAGTTGCAGACAGCTGCCAAATGTCACATTCTTTGAAATATCAAATCACAGCGGCCTAACCGCTAGAACTTTTTAAAATGTCTGTCATTTTCTGTATGTTGTCAAGTAGCAGTAGAAGAAGTGCAACACCAATTTTTTAAGTAACAGTATTTTGCTAAAATGCAAATGAACATTATTGTTCTCTAAAACTGGTGAATGTTCCCAAGAAACAGTACTGACAATGAAAAAA